GCACCGAATACAGGATACTGATGTTCCAATCATTGGGCATAAATTTATCTAGTCAAATTGTACTAATTAGCTGGTGAATGCTCCTGATCAGCATCTGACCACCGGTATTGAATAGTTCGGCTGGTAATCCATCGGCACCTACTGCTTTACTATTCGTTAGCCAATTGATTGCTATTCTGATCTCATCATATACACTCGATATATATGATGGGGCCAAAAATAATTTACCTTCCGATTTTTGTATTGAAATCTCCTAGCAGAATTTTAATGTCATGGCCAGGGCAGCGATCATATGATGTTTCTAGACGTTCGTAAAATATGTCTTTGGTCTTTGTCTTCGCTCGGGGCATGGGTGCAAATGAAACCGATGTAGAAGAAATTCGCTTTTGTACGAATTATAGCAATTCGTTGATCGACTGCTGTGAATCCGGAGACGAGGTCTGTTATTCTCCTGTTAACCATAAATCCACAACCATAAATCGTTTCATGGCAGCTGTAGTATCATGCGTGATCATTTGACTTTCTTACGTCTGTCCCTTTCCATCAAAATTCCTGTAAGGCAATAATATCGACTTTGTACTTCTTGAGTACATCCGCCAAAAAGAAAAATGCGCCTGTTCTGTACAACGTGCGCAAATTCCAAGTGCAGATTCGCAGATCATGGTCCTTTATACGTTTGCGAGGGTGGTCAACATTAGGGGGGTTTAGTTTTCTCTTTCTTTGCTTTTTTTATAGTTGCCGAGTGTGGGCAACTATCCCGACGCCTCAACCGTTTTTTTATAGTTCTGATGGGTGAACTCATGGTACATATTATCTCATTATTTCAAGTGGTGTTATAAGTAGCTACCCCAGGTGACACCGCAGGGTGGTGTGCACAATTGAGAAGGAATAGTGGCCAAGATAAGCCTGAGCTTTGCCATTTTATAGCCAATCCGAGCCGTTGCTTGGTATCTATCATCCCCTACGTCACCCCCACCATAGCCTTAGGCGTTGATTTTAAAAGAAAATTTTCGATAAGAATCATCATATTTTCTGCAAAGCGAGAATTTTAAAAGAATATTTTTGGCAAGGACTATATTTTCGGAAAGGATTATTATAGCCATAGGCGTGGATTTCCCTGCCCAAAAATAAAAAACCGGCATGCAGGGAAATAAACCTCTTTCGTAAAGGTGAACGTATAATTATTACAATCAATCATACGCACTATGCACCAAAATCTGGCTTTACAATGGTTTGAAGGAAAATTACTGCCATAAACCTAACACCCCCTTTGAAGTAGAGTGATATCACATTGAAAACTATACTAACTATGAATATTCATGTCAAATTCGTGTATGTTAACGTACAATTCCTTGACGTGTGTTTTCGACCCCCAACCGATAGAATACAACATAATTTTGTGCCTTATCTAAATCGTATTTCTAATGACTATTACCATTACACCTTCCTCCCTCCACAGCCCACAAATGCCACCATAATAAAAAAAAAGCTAAAGCCGCCATAATAACGTCAGCTATCTAATGGTGATTATCATGCACATTTGTCAGTGTTCTGTGGGGTTGAGCGTGAGGGTGTCGAGGAAAAAAGCAAAAACAAAATATGGACAATGTGTGATAGTTGTTGCCACAAATGTGTTATGTGGTGTTTTCATTCATGTTCTCTCAATTATGTACAAACATACATATGTATGTAATTTTTTTAAGATTTAAAAAAGACCGCCACTGCCGCCTCATTCCATTCATTTAGCCGAAAACAAAATTTAGTCACGCCATGAACACTTTTTTCAAGATTATTTCAACACGCACAACTTCGTCATCGTCGTAAAATAATGATTATTATTGTGCAGTTATATAGCTAATTCATGTGTGTGTGTGTATGAAGAAAAATGCAATATTGGGGTGTAGTGAATGTGAATTTGGGAGAGATGAGGGGAATGGTTTTGGACCATTGGATTTTTTTTTGTTATTCGGCTCTACGTTATAAAGTAGGGATTTGTAATAAGAGCTTTATAAGTAAGGGATTTGATATACGGTCTTACTACTGATATAAGGACGGTCTTACTACTGATATAATTGAACCCTTAATTATTTGGATTACTGGATAATTGGAGATGTTCCACCATAGCACATTGATATACATTAGGCAAAATGAGTTGCAGGATTTCAAAGATTTATTCGACAATTCCGTATCCCGACCATTACTAATTTCCCTAGGTATGACCTGGAATCCTTTAATTGATCTAATCAAAAATTCTCTGAAATTTCTCTTCAGTTTGAGTTCTCAATTGACCTGTTCTCTCTGCTACCATGGTGCTCGTTAATTTGTCCACTGTGTGGATTTTTTCCTCATATATAAAGCATACTTTTAGGCGTTTAATTTTCAAATTGGAAAATAATATCCAAAGAATATTGTTTATGACTCGTTACACCCCAATATCCACCCACCATTAAATTTAATGGATGATTTTCTTTCAAAATTCGATTTCATGTTCCAAGGGGAGGTTTTTATCGTTTGCGGACGCTTCTGTGTTCTTATATATTTTTTTCTTTCGGCACTTAACTTGTGTTTGTTAAGTTGTCAGGTGTCGGCGGTATTTGTGTTGATGTCTGTTATTTGTAAACAAGGATTGCTTATTTGTATGTGTGGGTGTGTGATCTCATACTCCACGTCAATGAAGACGAACATTTTGATTATGTCAAAAGTGTAGGTAACCATGTGTATCAAGTGGTTGTTTTTCCGCTTGATAAGTGATTGACTTGTCCTTCATAAATATGAAAAGGAGTTGGAAGGAAATGGTGTGGCAAGGGAAAACATGATTACCGTCTCAAGAGGGAAGTTGTTTATGGGGGTATGTATGTACATAATAAATGCTTAAGGATAATTTCAATGCCGTTAAAATAATCTGAGTATCGATTTGATGTTAGAGGAGTTGTAAATAAAACTAATGAAGAAAATCATAGCCCTAGGTGTGGATTTTTAAAGAATACTTTCAGCAAGGATCATCATTGTCTTAGGCGTGGATTTTTAAAGAATATTTTCCCAAGGATTATCATAGCCCTAGGCGTGGATTTTTAAAGAATATTTTCCCAAGGATTATCATAGCCCTAGGCGTGGATTTTTAAAGAATATTTTCGTCAAGGATTATCATAGCCCTAGGCGTGGATTTTTAAAGAATATTTTCCCAAGGATTATCATAGCCCTAGGCGTGGATTTTTAAAGAATATTTTCCCAAGGATTATCATAGCCCTAGGCGTGGATTTTTAAAGAATATTTTCCCAAGGATTATCATAGCCCTAGGCGTGGATTTTTAAAGAATATTTTCCCAAGGATTATCATAGCCCTAGGCGTGGATTTTTAAAGAATATTTTCCCAAGGATTATCATAGCCCTAGGCGTGGATTTTTAAAGAATATTTTCCCAAGGATTATCATAGCCCTAGGCGTGGATTTTTAAAAAATATTTTCCCAAGGATTATCATAGCCCTAGGCGTGGATTTTTAAAGAATATTTTCCCAAGGATTATCATAGCCCTAGGCGTGGATTTTTAAAGAATATTTTCCCAAGGATTATCATAGCCCTAGGCGTGGATTTTTAAAGAATATTTTCCCAAGGATTATCATAGCCCTAGGCGTGGATTTTTAAAGAATATTTTCCCAAGGATTATCATAGCCCTAGGCGTGGATTTTTAAAGAATATTTTCCCAAGGATTATCATGGATTTTTAAAGAATATTTTCCCAAGGATTATCATAGCCCTAGGCGTGGATTTTTAAAGAATATTTTCCCAAGGATTATCATAGCCCTAGGCGTGGATTTTTAAAGAATATTTTCCCAAGGATTATCATAGCCCTAGGCGTGGATTTTTAAAGAATATTTTCCCAAGGATTATCATAGCCCTAGGCGTGGATTTTTAAAGAATATTTTCCCAAGGATTATCATAGCCCTAGGCGTGGATTTTTAAAGAATATTTTTGGCAAGAAACATCTCAGACTTAGGTGTTCAGGGATAATAAATGTTATCAAATTCCTGTTCAGGGATAATTCAAATTCATATTCCTCCACTTTAAAATAAATCGTTTACAATTTATTTTATCACAAAAGGAAGTTGATAAATGTTATCAGGATATACACGCACATGTACATTGTTGAACACACACATATTGGTTGTACGTGCAACAACCATAAAAAAACTGTTGGATTTTATTTCGCAATTGACCTTTCCAAACGTTCGCCACGTTTCCGTTAGTTAATGCAATGGTTATTTGCACCGCATTTTGTTAGCCCAGAAAGCTGTTGAGCAATGAGCGCGATGTACTTGAAGATTATGTCTGGCGGGGTGTTAGCATGTCGTGCGACTGGTGTATTTTGTTAATGTGGAAATGAAATTGAATTTGTATTTTAATTTTTAAACCATAAACAATTTTAGTCAAACAGTTCATTTTTAAAGACGAATTCAGAACCTTAAAGCTATGGATTCTTCAAAAGCCCACGCTTCATAGCTTCTTTGTAGCTTTCAAAATATTAATTATAAATACACGACATTAAGGTTCAGAGAAAATTCAAATTCTTCTTCAAAAGTCCACACGGTCATGCCAAGCGTTGTTCTCAAAACCCACAAATGGTTTTCAACCTTCAAATTGTATTCAACACTTCTTTAAGAGTCCACACCTCAACGGCTGAGTGTGGCCTTTAAAATTTAATGCAAATATTTCTTATTGACGTTAGCCTACATTTTAAAGGATTAAGCTCGATTAAAAATATATTCACATGGAGTTCGCCCTGAGTTGGTTTTTAATATGTCTAAATATTTTGTGTTTCCCTTAAAAAATATCATAATTAATTTCCCTTTCCTTCCTATTACTTTCATTACAGATCCTGCAGGATTCAATTAAAGACTGATGAGCAAAAACAAAAGCCGATACTAACTAACCAAATAACCACCATAGAAGCCACCATTCTAAAAAACCAAATGTTTTACTAAAGGTTCTGCTACCGACGAAAAAGAAAGGAAAATCTGTTAACCTGGATAAAAGGATACAAATAAAATTAAGCACCATAATGTTTTTGCCGGTTAAATCGAATCTGTGAGTATAAAATCCTAAAACAAAACAAAAAACCCAAAGCCAATACCTAATAAGACCTTTAACAAACATTGTTTCACAGTGATGAACTCACATTTACATATATAAACCCTCCCAAGAAAACAAGGCCAAAAAATGCTTTACAAATTATCCCTTTTTATGTGGAACCCCCACATAAATATTGCACGCATACCCCACCCACACGAAATCTATTGGAAAATCTGAAAACAATGTTCGAAATGGAAAAAATAAATAAACCCAAAAATTCCATCTACAAGGATTGTGTCATCACAGGGTATCTGCTGTTATCCTTTGTTGTGGATTCCCACACACCCCCACAGACACATCCGCCAATACACAATGTTGTTAACAACATTTTTCCGAACAACCACCCCCCATCGAACTTGACGACAGGACTTAGCTGCATTCATTGTTGCATGACGAAAACAACAGCTAGACTCTGTGTTGTGACAAGGACATGAACTGCAGACATGGACTAAATCGCAGCCACAGCCGGCAATTTTTATTCGACAATACGGCGTCTTTGATGTCATCATCATCATTAGCTTCCCTTGGCAAGGCATCATTTAAAGAAAGAGTGGGGGTAAACGGAAAAATGGCTATCTTTTTTTTGATACCCTTGAGGCATTCATTTACGCATTCATATGTACATTGTTGTAACATTGTTATTATCACTATTGTTTCAAAAGAGGGTTGCCAGACTGATGATATTATGATACTTGCCAAAAATATTCTTTAAAAATCCACACCTGGGGTATTATGATCCTTGCCAAAACTATTCTTTAAAAATCCACACCTAGGGTGTTATAATCCTTGCCAAAAATATTCTTTAAAAATCCACGCCTGTGGTATTATGACCCTTGCCAAAAATATTCTTTAAAATCCAAGCCTAGGAAAATTATGATCCTTGCCAAAAATATTCTTTAAAAATCCAAGCCTAGGAAAATTATGATCCTTGCCAAAAATATTCTTTAAAAATCCAAGCCTAGGAAATGATGATCCTTGCCAAAATTATTAGACTTTAAAAAACTTTAAAAATCCAAGCCTAGGAAAATGATGATCCTTGCCGAAAATATTCTTTAAAAATCCACGCCTTTATGACTCAGATGGGGCTTGAAAATATTCTTTAAAAATCCACGCCTTTATGACTCAGATGGGGCTTGAAAATATTCTTTAAAAATCCACGCCTTTATGACTCAGATGGGGCTTGAAAATATTCTTTAAAAATCCACGCCTTTATGACTCAGATGGGGATTGAAAATATTCTTTAAAAATCCACGCCTTTATGACTCAGATGGGGCTTGAACATATCGTTGACTGTGCGTTGAATTCCGAACAATCTTTGATACCCTCCTTATTGGCTGATTTTTGAACTTAAAACACTTTTGGCTCAGTGTAGAACTTCAAATTCTTAAAAACCGACCATTTTTCATTAAATCCCCCAAAAGTTTGCTACTCTCTTTTCGTCTGTTATTTTGATGGTGGTAATTGCAATTGTCATTGTTTTGATTTTCATTGCTCACAACTGACTCATTTTCCAACAATCTGAACGATAGCCATTTGGGGACTTTGATAACTACAACATTGCTGAACAGGATTGTGGTGTGTTCTGTGTTCCATTTCAGATAACCGTTGAAATGTAATTCGGATTATATTTTGCGAAAAGTGTATCGAGGACACACCACTCAGAGCAAGAAATTGAGGTTAATAGCTTTTGGGGGAAAATAATTTTTGCGTTAAAAATGAATCCCAATTGATTTTTACGATATGACGGTTAGTTCAATAATATTCCAAAAAGCCAACAACTACAACATTGTTGTAATTTAATATCTTTTTTTGCAATAAGTGAAATATTCTAAGGGTGAGGTTTTACTGCAAATAAAAGGAAACTTTATGGCATCCATCAAAGTTAATTTGTAACACCACACACATACATACACACAAACATAGTTGGTTTATGGCTAAACCATTAACCGCTAAAACCAGAACATATATTTGGTTTAATGTCTAGCACTAATGGACACCATGACATGGTTATGACATTAGCAGAACAGCAACAATGTAGGGAAATTGTTTTTTTTTTATAGTTGTGGCCTTGAGAGGGATTTATTTTTTAAGTACTTAAAGACTTTTTAAAAATTAAAGTTAACAGGATTACTAATTAATACTTAAATTACACGACTAACATCTAATGTTTGTAAAAGGATAATTAATCCCGTTTTATTTTCATAAGAACAGAGACAACCACCACAAATAGTTGGGACAAACATTTTTCTTCCTCATTACTTAATATGAATTTATACCCTCTTCTTAATTATAATCGCTAATACCTCCTGATTCCTAATAAATAATTTCATTAATTTGTTGTCTGTTTTCAGTTCCACCGACAACACTGCCAACAGTGAAGATGTCACCACCACCAGCAACAATTCAACACAGACACCGAGTGATCTTAGCCCACCGGGACCAAATGAGGAAGTTCTACCACAGGCACATCATCAAAATCCAGGACATTGTGTGGCATCCTTTGCTGCGATTAATCAAATGCGTACAAATGCTCAGGTAAAGTCAGCCAGACAAAAATATAAAATAATCAAGTGCAATTAAGACAAAAACATTTTCTTAATGATATTAAATATCCTTGAAAATGAATCGGGGGAGAAGTATAATGAAAGAAATAACAAAGAAGATAACACAAATAAAACCCAGACAACAACAGATGTGTGTAATCTGTTTTTAAACTGGGAATATTTAAACAAATACTGCAATATATTTTTAATGGATACATTATAACCTAATTATTTTAGTACAATTTCAAAAACCTGATCATCAGCGTAGCCTTGAAAGTATTCCCTAAAAATCAACGTTGCCTGTAAAATATACGTTAAAAATCTATGTATTTAAGACACCATGTTTCCTTTAAAATATTCCTTGAAATCCGCGCCGCATTTTTCTCAGATTGGGCTTAAAAATATTCTTTAAAAATCCACCCCTTCATGACTCAGATGGGGCTTGAAATTATTCTTTAAAAATCCACTCCTTTATGACTCAGATGGGGCTTGAAAATAACCTTAGAAATCCAAGCCTATATGGCTCAGAATGCGCTTATTTTTTTAAAAATCCACGCGTTAAAAATTTACGCCTTTATGACTCATATGAGACCACCACGCCCTTATGACGCTAATTGGTGTAGCCGCCAGTGTAGCCTTGAAAGCATTCTCTAAACCAGTGAGCGGAGCTGTATAGTCGGACGGGCCGACCATACGATACCCTACACAACTACCACGGAACTCAAATTTTCTGCGGATGTTTATTCCGAACCTGGGCAATATTTCGTGATAACACCCTCATGCCCGATTAGAGGTAAACAGTACCTCTTCCTCACACTGACATATTTTCCGAATATTACGAGTATTCAGTACAGCTATTGTCCAGATTCCCTTCACCGTGGGTTGTGTTGTGATGTTCGGCTTTTATTTGTGGTCTATAGATCGACTCGAAAATAACACAAAAAATTAAGTTTTCGGTCCACTTCATTCCAAAATTTTTATCTGATCATCACCGAAAATTATAGGCGTTGTCCTTGACCATAACTGGAACCACATGGAACATTTCAAAGCGATCAGAGCTATAGTTCCGCTTTCCAGAGTGATAATGGGTTACTAAATAATATACGAATACGGAGATACCTGTAAATATTTAGGTGTAACTCCCACATCCGAGCACATACAACAATAAAATTGGTCTTAATTTAAAGGTCAACCACTCCACTTGGATATAATATCAACTTCTCGGGTAAATGTTCTTCAGGGGTAAATATATACGTCATTGAATACAAACTTTGTAATTTTTCACACAAAAGTCAGGGTCCATTTGACCCGCTAAATATTGACCGATCTTTATCCAAACAGGCATGCTTATTCTTTGGCCCGATCCGCTTCTCCATGCAAAATTTCACGATGTTCGGACAATTATTGCGGCCTCTGGAGCGTCCAGAAAAACCGACAAAATGTTAGTATTTGGTCCATTTCATCCCCTAAATATTAACCAATCTTTCCCAAAAACAATAGGGGTTTTCATTGGCCAGAACCCATTCTACATGCAAAATTTCGTGAAGATTGGTCCATAACTGTGGCCTGTATCGTGTTTACAAATTATAATGGACAGACGGACGGACACACATGTCTAGATCGACTCAGCTAGTCGAGATATGACGATCGGTATACTTTAAGGTGGGTCTAGAATCAATATTTCGCGGCGCTACAAACTTTTGGGGCTGCACAAAGCTATAATACCCTGACAACATAGTTGTGTAGGGTATAAAAATCACATATTACTTGAGAATTGAAGCTAAGTTTAGCTCGGAAATAATACTTCAAAAATTTCCCTGAAAGTATGCTCAAATAATTCACGGATTTTAGGCTCAATATAATATTAAAAATATTTTTCAAGAATGGAGTCGTTTAATATGAGTGTCATTTAGCCTTTAAGGATCCGCGTCTTTATGGCTTAATGGGTCCTAGAAATACTCTTAATAATTTCATGACTTTGAGGCAGAATTATGCCTTCAAAACATTATTTTAATGTCCGCGTATTAAAAGCGGATATTATTTCCTTGAAGGTATGCTTTGAAAATCCACGCCTTTAAGACTGAATTTAGCCTTGGTGGTATGCTTTAAAAATCTAGCTTGTAAGACTTAGTTTAGTCTTAAATGTATGCTTTAAAGATCCACGCCTTAAATACAGAGTATAGCCCTGAAAGTATACTTTAAAAATAGCCCTGAAAGTATACTTAAAAAACAACGACTTCGAGACTTAGTTTAGCCTTAAAAGTATGCTTTGAATCCTTACACTGTGTTTTTTTTTTGCTTTGAAACTGAGTGTTTTCTTAAAGGTATGCCTTTAAAACCGAGTGTAGCCTTGAAGGTATGCTTTAAAAATTCACGCCTTTAAGGTATGCTTTACAAATCCACGCCTTTAATACTGAGTGCTTTAAAAATAAGATTTCCAAGCGCGTCGGTTTTATGCACAGTTTTCCCAATTTGAAGGACCATGTTCCAATATGTTGCCATCCATTTGTTTTTTAATCGAATTTGTGGCTCTCCCTTTCTGCGTGAATGTGTCGATGTGTTTTTCGTGGGTCTTCTTCAGGATTTGGCGCAGTGTGAAAATCTGCTCTAGGCTAGGTGGTATACAATCTAAACCGTCCACTCTTATTGGTTCTGTGATGTCTTCTTCATCTCTACTATTTCATGCCAGAATCATTGTAGAGTGCTCCTTCAAGATTCTCAACACGCTATCTGTACCAGTCACCAGGTTTCCTTTTTCATCTCTACAGGAGGATGTGCCTGAACCAAAGCCTTCGGTTTGGTGTTTTACTTGTTGTTAAAATTTCCAGACTTATTTCTGACTCCTGAGCATCTCGATTTGCTCACGCTCGCGTTTTTCTTGACCTTCCTTCTTTCTTTTGAAAATACGTTTCTACTCTCTCTTTTCCTCCCTTTCCTTTTTACATTAAGATGAGTTCGAACCTTGGCTGCTACAATATAATGGGCCGAATCGATATTCGCTCCTCGGTTCGATCGAACACCTAATACACTGTATTAGATGGGAATGGGTTACAAATACTTCATGACTTTGTGTCTCAGATGAGGCCTAAAAAGGTTTTGAGAAACTCCAGGCCTTGATTTGGGTTTTAACTTGAAAATAGCCTATAAAAATCCTGATCCTTATTGCTTAGATTGTCTCGAAAATATTCACTGTTATATATATATATCCAGTCTCACTCTTATATATATCCAGTTTTGCCTGTAACTGTGTTCAAAAACAAAACACAATTTAATGCGCATCATCCGCATTAGAAACTCATCAACGTATCCAAGTTACAAATATATCGTTGTCAGGCCGTTTACGTGCCAGACATGAAGGCGCGAATGTGTTTTGTGTTTTCTATTTTTTTTACGTATTTCAATTTTCGTATTGAATTCAATGGATTCTGTCTCAAGCCTCATTCTTTTTTCGTTAGTTGCCACTGGAAAAGGTTGCAAACTGTCACATATCTATATACAAATGTATACCCATTGAGTTTATTGACTTTTTCTTCTCATCTTCCATTTGCCATAGGTTGTTGCTGTCTCCTCCATCTATACTCGAGGGTAATTCATATTTCTGTACCGGCTGGCACAGACATTATTGTGAACATGCTTGGGATATGGATGGACGTTGTATGGTTGGTGTCGAAACTTGTCATGTTATTTTTAACACCTATCACCTAACTTGCCCATACAGACATGGAGTAGGTGACATCCGAATATGCCAGGCAAAACCAGCCACCCATCCAACCTATTAAAGCCTACGAGCAGCACACACATTCCGAACATAATTCCATTAGAATGCTTAGTTCCGTATTTTTTGTATGCAGCAACCAAACAGAATTTGTCATACACCCACACTCACCTCTCACTCACTCTTGAAAGTGTCACTTTGCACAGCAACTCTTCCATGGCGAAAGAGGTTGACAAATTGTTTATGGTTGCATGCCTATATTGCTTTAGGGTCATGTGGAAGTCAAACACATTTTGAAGTTGTTTTTACTTCGTTGTTGGTGTTTTTCGTTCTATGGCCTATGGATTATTTTGTTTTTTTCTGTATTTCCTCCAATGGGAGCGAACAGTGGGAATAGACAGAAACCTAATTGTCTTGTAGGCGACTTACCTTAATACCAAATAATCTCTTCATTAAGACATGTAATTGGCATTTGCATGGTAGAGACTTTCGTTTAATGGAAATTTAATATTGCTTAGCAGCATTTGGTGGAGGTGTTCAGAATAGAAGAAAATTAAGAAATCCCATTAAAATTTAATGGGAAACTGGGATGAAGCGACATAAAATGGTAGTATTAAAGTTACAAATTCGTTTAAAAGCTCTGAGAAGACTAATTACAATTAAATACAGTAATTTTCGAAGTTCAGGAAGTAAACGGTGCGTATAAGTATTGACAACAAGTATACGCCATCTGGTACCGCCAATTACAAATTATTACCGATATAAGATGATTTCTTATAAAGTTTATTAGTAGTCCTTTTAGATATCTTAATGCTGCTTTCGTTACTGACAGTTGTCGACAACTGCAAATATTTATTTTTTTTTAACGAATAGATTCGTAAAGTTAACGACCATAGTAAAGTAGCCGTTAAAGTTACCGATAAATATATATAAGTTGGCATAAATGTTACTTTTTACATGAAAAATCTGAGCCTTAATTTTACCGATATTTCTCGGTAATACATTTTTATGAAAGTGTGGTATATCCTTTCTTCACTTAATTTTTTTATCGAGAGTATTAATCTCCATTTGTCCTGCATAACTTTCCCAATTACAATAATCACCCAATAATACTGCGTATTAGTTTTGACAACACTTATACGCAGTGGTATTCGTAGATGTTTTATCAATACTGAAGCTGAAATGATTTATTAGAATTTTTGTTTAATATTTTATGCTATTTTTGAAGCTCTAGGGTTGCTGTTATTGTTCGGCTTCATAATTGTTTTATAATTATTTCAAGGTTTCCAGCATGCCCCTCTCTTCTACATAGTATTTGACACTTACAGCTCGTCTCGCATCACTTAGCCACGAAAATTCGGAAATGGTGCATATAAGTATTGACAGAAGTTATACGCAATCATGTATCGTATTCAATATCAATGTCAAATGACAATTTAAAGAAAAATATCACGTTGTCTGAGGCTAAAATAATTAAAAAATTCGTGTTGGACATCTTAGATGGTATTCGCGAGCTGGTATAGTTCGCACAACCTGTTATTGGCCTGGGACTGATTAATAAATTATTTCCAAGCTCGTAAGGTTTGAGCGTAACGGTGCAATTCAAGATATACAGTATAGAGTGTGGGCTTATACCGCAAGCATCAGTGCTTTAAAAGCTTGTCTATCCGATCCGACTGGATTAGACAATAAGATTAGGATTTTATATACTGATGGAAACATCAATTCGTTGTATTATACATATTTCATTTTCATATCCGCAGACCATGTGCTAAATAGTGTGTAGAACAAGGCTACTCGATTGATGAGGTATTCAACCTTTTACGATCCGATATAACCTGTTTGAGGATATTACCCTACCTTGGTGAACTTGAAATTATTGGATGACGTAACGCTTCGGGTGAAGCAACATCATTCATCGTAAACTGTGGTGGTTTATAGTCGGCGGAAACACCAGTACTGTAAACACCAGTTAATACAAAGCGTCAACCAACGGTCCTACATCAAATCCACATACCAATCGATCACAAGTATTTGTACTTGATCACCTGCTTGAATTAGGAATGGAGCTCATCTGAGACTCCTAGGGCCAGGTACAAGGTTGTAATGCAACTATACACCGAGCCAAACTAGATTCGCGATTTGGGTGTAAATCAACACCAAATGCCCGGCTAGATTCGCAGACCTAGGTGACATGACAACCGCGCTACCGAAAACCTTTGGTCAGGTTCAAAGCCGAAGCTATTTCCAGTAGAATACCAAGCAGATCGGGACAGGATTCCAACAGGCTATAGCATCTGCCCAGTTTCATATCCGAATCTACTACCATATCTAATACCATTGCAGGCTTTCTACAATGGACATTGGTAACCACCATGCATTCCACCCCTCCCAACAATTGTTCAATTCAATTATCCTCTTTTCAATATTGCAACACTCCATTTATTCTGCTTTTACTTCCCGTCTAATCTGTTGGACTCCAGGGGTAGTTCTGTCTCGGTGGGAGGATATCTTGCACGAATTAATAATCTTCTGGGGATTTTCTATAAATAATCCGGTAAAATAACTGGAGCACCTCTTCAGACCAGCTTTTATCAACACCAACTTCCAGGCTAGATTCGTAGACCTAGGATACCTTTGGCCAGGTTCATACCCGAAGCAATTTCTAGCAGAACCCCAAGCAGATGGGGACTGATTACCCACAGACTATTGCCTCTGTCCAGCTACCATTAAAACTTATATGTGCAGGCTCTCTAAAATTGACATTGGTAGCTATCATGTATTTCACCCTTCCCAACAAGTGTTCAATTCAATCATCCTTTTTTCAATATTACAACACTCCATTTATTCTGTTTCTGTTCCGCTAGGAGAACGACTTCACCGTTTCCCACATTTTCCCTAGAATTTTACGTGTAGCAACTCTTCAGATGTTTTAACCTTTTATACCGCTAATGCTCCGCCTTTAATCTGGTTACTTCTATCATAAGTTCCCTAACTCTGGAATCTGTAGTTCATCCGCTATTTTGCTAGTCATGCTGTCTTTACTGGGGAAGTAGATTGTATATCTAATGAAACGGGCCCACATGTAAACATATCTTCTATGCTATCAAAACATCGAAAAGGATGGGAAGTTCTCTGAAGTGATGCTTATTGACCTCTCTGATTCCTTGCTAGTTGACTTTACTATAATCGAGGAAAGTTTATGCGGTCTGCTATTGGTATGAGAAGGTTGTCTGGACTAAGTTTCTTGTATGCGTCACTAGATTCTAAAGATAAGTTGGATAATTTGCATCTAGACTAATCAATTATTTCCACAAGAAAAAAATGAAGTGTTGTAATCAGGGCCCTATAACAATGCCAAAATGTTGCACTGTCTGGGATTGGAACGCTGCAGTACAACGTGCTGCAGTAAATTTTCGCACTCTCTTCTAAACATTAGTCTCACATAAGTTAAGTCATGTTGTCAAGCACAAAAGCCTGGGGCATCCTACAACCTGGCATCCTGGCCTTGTTTCTTAATTGCTCATTTAGACCATAGTAGCATCTGTTCGACAACACTATCCTTCTCCGAATCTCAAAATTGTTGTCATTTGTTTTGTTTATGACGGTACCGAAGTAGATGAAATCTCCGACTACCTCAAAGCTGTAGTTTTCATGTTCCACAATTGATACCATCAGCTTTATCTTCTCGTCATATACTGCCAGTCTAACTATGGCAGACTCCTTCTCAATTCGTAAAATATACAATATCTTCTTTCTCCCTGTTTACCATTAGTCCTTCGAGCCGAATCAGTGAGCGATCGTGGAGGAAATTGATGCTAAAGAATTTGCTTTAAAAATAGAGAAAATTGTGTCAGCTTGGTGGAAAATGCAAAAAGAAGAAAAATGAAATATAAATAAAATGTTGAGTCAGAAGGAGGGGCTTCATTTCTGAGTGCAGAACGATGTTGTGAGGCTATGGGATCTTATTCTGGAGAAGACAAATCGGGCATAGTCTCGGCACTGACCGATGATATAAATACTGTACTAGCAAGCATTGACATGTTCGTAGAGTTTATTGACAGTCTGGATACGACTGTGAATGTGAAGGATATAGAGATCGCATATATCTATATAGGAAACCTAGTAAGCAGCACAAAAAAGTAAAATATCCGTCCGTTAGTAATCGGTGGATAGAGCTATTGGAGAAGAAATAAAAATTGCAGGAGGGTTTTGGAGCGACGAATGTTTAGGGCAAAGAAGCTTATAACCTATAGGCTATAATGAAGAATTAGATAAAAACCGTGACGTGGCAGAGTTACGTTCAAGAAATAGGAGCTAGGTTTTGCTCTAAAAACAATTCCGTCAAGAGGCCTTCGGTCCACGCATCATGGATTATCTTTCTTCAGAGAGTTTAGGAAATACCGTTCCATGTTTAATATTAATATACTATAGGATTTTTTTTCTATTACATCCACAACGAACACTTTTTACTAGAGGTGCGATCTAAATATGGATCGGGACATACTCTAAACCTAAATGTATCCACCGTATAAATACTTAAAAGCTCTTACAATGAAATATTAAAGATTTTCACACATACTTTTATCTTTTTTCTCTCTCTCTCTCTCCTTCCCAATTCAAAATCCCTAAACAACATTTGGCGATATCCTATCAAAACACACACACACGCTCACACTCAAATGCCGCTGTATGCTCCTATGGAATTTAAACTGGCTGTCTGCTACGGTTCTTTGCTGCCTATAGTTATGCGATGTTACTTTGGAAGTTGGCGGTGAAACCTTACATGCCCATAAAGTGGTTTTAGCCTCAGTCTCACCCTATTTCTATGCCATGTTCAATGGTAAGTAACGAAACAAATCCCTAAATGAAAAATATACCTAAGCAGAGGAGCCGCATGGATAACATGTCTATGGAGAAACGTGTGTGTAGGTATGGTTGGCCATGTGTCGGCATGTGAAATATTAAATCCTTATCTAGTCACAGCCAGACACACCAGTCAACCAGCCAGCCAGACAAACACTTCTCTAATGCTCTTAAAATTGACTACCATAATATTTCATGCTTTGACTTTATCCCCCTCCACCTCATTTTTCATTTCCACCCTTCTCTCTTCTCTTTCATCCTTACAGATGATATGCTGGAACGTACCCAGGGTATTGTTCGTTTGCATGACATTGATGTAACTGCCCTCAAACATTTAATCGATTACATTTATACGGGAGAGATTACCATAACCGAACAAAATGTCCAGGTCCTATTGCCTGCATCGAGTCTGCTGCAAATGCATTCGGTTAGGGAAGCCTGCTGTAAATTTTTACTGCGTCAATTACATCCTTCGAATTGTTTGGGTATTCGTAGTTTTGCTGGTAAGTTGGATGTTGTGGAGAAAATAGGAATTAAAATTTTGTTGGGGATATGATATAAATATTTATGGTTTTCTTCTAATTACAGATGCCCATTCATGCAAGGAGTTGCACACACGATCGCATAAATATGCATTACAAAATTTCCAACAAGTTGTTGGAACAGAGGAATTTTTATTACTGCCATTTGAAGAGGTGAGTTTAACAAATTGTAGTTTATTATCACTGAATGACCTAGCCCACATCCAATTGGTCTATAGGGAGAGACGTAGGGAATTGTAAATAAAAGAATTTGCCTTAAAGGTCGAGGAAATTCTGTCAGCTTGGTGGATAATCCAAACAGAAAAAATTAAAAAAAGATTAATAAATTGCTGAGTCAGACGGATGCTGCGGCAATGAAAAAGGCTGAGACATTTTGGCTAGAGGGCTTCAGTTATTCCGGAGAAGAAAAAATCGCTCAAAGACTCGCTACTGAGTTGAATTGTTCTGTAACGAACTAATTCAAATAAACAAGATTAGGTTTTCCTGCTCATCCTAGTTCCTTTTGCTTCAGTCGTTTCTTTTTGTTGTCGTTTGATCCAATCGTTCATGTAGATATCCCCCCGAAGAAAGAGTTCCTCCCATTGAGTATTCGATATAAAAATAATATACAATTCGGTTGAAAAACGTGCCAAAACCTTACCAAAATACCGAATAATGATAATAATGGTCCAATTTTGATCATTTTTGGTAGGAAGATGTACTACTCAATATGAACGCGAAATATAAAATTACAGCCAATACGATTGAAACACTTATCACTTAAATGTGCAGCAGCTCGATTCGTCTGACTATGTCGTTATGCGAGAATAGATGGTACAGCTCATGGTTTATTCGACGGCGATATTCACCGTCGACGCAGATCGGCCCGTAGATCTTTCGGAATTTTTTTCTCTTAAACACTACAAGAGCTGCCTCATCTGCTTGCGCGTTCCGCAGTTGGTCCGAACCTACTGGACGTCTTGCGCGTTTGTACCATCAGCTTGGTCTTCTCGCCGTTCACTGCCAGACCCACTTTGGCTTTCTTAATTCGTTCAAAGGTGGCTGTTACCTCTCGCAATGTTCGACCCATTATGTCGATATCATCGTCGTAGGCGAGTAACATTTTCTGTTTGGAGTGTCAGAGTGTCATTTCTGTTCACCTTTGTCTCTCGTATGACCTTTTTCAGCAGGATGTTAAAGGGGTCACACGACAAACTGTCACCTTGGCTGAATCCTCGTTCGGTATTGAAGGGCTCCGAGAGGGCCTTTCGTATTTTAACTTTTGACCTTGTACCAGTTAAAATTATCCTGCATTGCTGTATTTTGCTGGAATGCCGAACGCAGACATGGCTTTAAAAACCTCTGAGCGGATTGGGCTTTATGCGGCTTCGTCGGTCTTTTCCAGGTTTGGCGCACTGTGAAAATCTGGTCATTGGTGGATTTGTCAGGTCTGAAGCTGCATTATTATGGCCCAATTATGTCATTAACTATTGGCTTAAGTCGTTCAGACAGCACGCTGGATAACACCTTATATGCGATGGGATGGAGATTTATTCCTTTATAGATGGCACACATCGTCTTGTCTCCTTTTTTGCTAAGGTCCCAAACATTGGGCATGCGTTCGTCTAGCCACTAATCTTTTGGTGCATGCTCTAATCAACATCTGACCACCGGTCTTTAATAGTTCAGGCTGGTAACCCTGTTTTATTATTCTTCAGCCGATTAATTGCTATTCTGACCTCATCTTGGCTAGGTGGTACACAATCAATGCCGTCACTTCTTATTAGTTCGGGGGTATATTTTTCACAGCCACTATTCGATGCCAGAATCTTTCCAAAATGCTCCTTCCAGATCCTCAACACGCTATCTGTATCTGTCAGCAGGTTTCCTTCTTCATCTCTACAGGAGGATGTGTCTGCATCAAAGCCTTGAGCTTGTATTTTATTCATTGGTAAAATTTCCGAACTTAATTCTGACTCCTGTGCCTCTCGATTTACCCAACCTCAATTTTTTTTTGTCTTTCCTCTTTTTTATAAAAAAAAGTTTCTCTTCTCTCATTATCTCGCGATAATTCTCTCTCGCATTGCGTGTTGTTACTGTTTTGTCCTATATGCTGCGTTGTTCAACTCCGTAGCATTACGACATTCCTGATCGTACAACTGGTTTCTTGAACTTTTGCTTTTGCTGCAATTTGTAGGGTGTAGGCAATTCTTTGCCATTGTGCTTCTATTTTATTATCGGGACAGGGAGTGCTTTCGTCAAGCAGGTGGGTAAGTTAAGCGGAGTAGGCTTCTGCTACGTGTGTTTGCAGCTTTTCGATGTCTAGTTCTCGTGTTGTATTACATTGCACCTTTGCTGCTACATTAAGGCAAATCTTGGCTGTCAATGGTAATGGTCCGATTCGATATTCCATATGTTGAGAATTTTTGGCAGGGAGATTTTTTACTCAATAAGATCCCAAAATATAAAATTACAGGCCATTTGGTTGATTTAACCACTTTTAATACCAAACATCCTAGGAGTAGTAAGAATACACGTGCTAAGTTTTAAAACTCTATATTCGATATTGCGAATCCTCCGATGAGAGACAGTTCTGAACTTCATGGCCGTGTGAAAGGTCTCTACAGACTTATTTTGTAAATCATGTTTTTTTCATATACATACATATGTATTTTTTTTAAACTAAATTCTACATACAAAAATTATTTTCTCAAATTATTTAATTTTTTTCTTGAATTTGCATAATACCATTTTCCATCCTTCTTTTTTTTATTTTCCAGGTCAAAGATTTAATATCAAACAATTTGCTGAATATATCATCGGAAGAAAAAGTGTTCCATGCCGTATTGAATTGGGTGAAACATGATTTGGACGAACGTCAAAATCACATTGCTGAACTGATGAGTCATGTTCGTCTGCCGCTGGTGAGTCGTGACTTTTTGATGACATGCGTCGAAACGGAACCATTGATACGAGAAGATTCTCAGTGCAAAGAGCTGCTGTTGGAGGCAATGAAATATCATCTGTTGCCAGAACAAAGAAGTCTAATGGGTAGCCAGCGGACACATGAACGTCGTCCGGATGGTATGAAACCCTATGTTTTCGCTGTGGGCGGTGGCAGTCTCTTTGCCATACACAATGAATGCGAAGTTTATAATCCAAGGACAAATGCCTGGTCGACAATTGCACCAATGTTGTGGCGGCGATCACGTTCCGGCGTGACTGCTCTGCATAAAAGTCTATATGTTGTGGGTGGTTATGATGGTGTCAATGATTTAGCCACGGCGGAATGTTATAGCCCTCTGACAAATAAATGGACATACATCACCCCCATGGGCACCAAACGTTCCTGCTTGGGTATTTGTTCATTTGATGGCTTGATTTACGTCTGTGGTGGTTATGATGGAGCCTCCTGTTTGAGTAGCACCGAACGTTATGATCCATTGACTTCGATTTGGAGCTCCTGTCCAGCCATGAATACACGACGCCGTTATTGCCGCTTGGCGGTTTTGGATAATTGCATTTATTCGCTGGGTGGATTCGATTCGACCAATTATCAATCGAGTGTAGAACGTTTTGATCCAAGAGTTGGCCGCTGGTATCCGGTGCCCAGTATGACGGCCAGGCGTAGCAGTTGTGGTGTTGCCTCGGCCGATGGTTATCTGTATTGTATTGGTGGTAATGATGGTACCATGTGCATGTCCAGTGGTGAACGATTTAATTTGAGGCGTAACAGCTGGGAACCCATTGCCGCCATGCATTCACGTCGCTCCACCCATGAAGTTGTGGAGGTGGAAGGAGCCCTTTATGCATTGGGTGGTAATGACGGCTCTTCCTCTTTGAACTCCGTGGAACGTTATGATATACGTCTGAACAAGTGGACCATTGTGAATTCTATGGTAGCGCGTCGCAGTTCTGTTGGTGCTGCCGTTTTGGATTGCTTCCATTTGGAACGGGGGCTGGTACAGACTACTAATTTATGACCCCCACTGAGCTCAATTGCTGAATCATTTGCCGCCGCAGCTAATGGCAGCGCAGGAGGAACGCTTTCCAAGAGTTCCTCTCCCACTGCCACCAATGGTATGACTACATCAGCCACAGCTGCAGCATCTGCTGTCGGGGCTTCATCATCAAATTCTCTAGCATCGACATTGTCTTCTCTCGCAGCCGGATCATCTTCGTCATCGACATCGTCAAATAGTGTCACCACAACCGCCAATCCAATCTTGCCTGGTAGAGCTGTTAGCGGACGTAGCATGCTATCGGGAGATCTATTAAATGTAGTCTTGCCACCCACATATACTCTAAGCACCTCGGCACCATCATCATCAACATCCACCTTGCGGCGTCATCGTGATCGTAACCCCGCACCGGAACCTAGCCCTCGCACCGAGCGGCCAAACAGCGATGATGGCAGCGGTAAACCGTCAACTGCCTGATACATGTACTACAGATAAGATAAGGCGTTCGACCTACAGTTTTGACACATGCCCAACGAATTCACTGCCTTCTTACTACCCAGTTCTCCTCCTGCGATTTCCTTTCCCTTTTGCTGTAGGTGGTACAATAGGGCCAAGGCTATACAACTTCAAAATCAAACTCTCCTCTAAAGAGAGCCTGCAAAGAGAATAAAAACATTATGAAAAAATTATACTGGTATCTTATTAGGGAATTAAATTATATACAAACCGCGAAGCTATCTATCGGGACAACTTACACTTTAATCTGAATGGATCGAAGCTGGTTACTTGTAGAATCTTTTTTTCTATTACGGAATTGATTTAATTTTACTCTTAAGAACTAAACAAAAAATAAAAGACCAAATTAATAATTAATGCCTTGCACAAGATTTACAAGGTGTTCTCTACATACATATACATATATATCTACAATTAAGTATTGAGATTGGATTTCATAATGGAATTCGTTACAAAAAAAAATAAACAAAAACAACAACAAAATATGAATTTATACTAGAAATTTAACCTAACCAAAAGTAAACATAACCTAAAACAAACACACAACCCACTTAACATTTTTTAATGAATTATTGAGTATAGCATAAATTTTTTGCTCTTATGATAATACTTTTTTATAAAATTTTTATGGAAAAAAATTTCAAAAAAATGAAATCTTATCAAAATAATTTGCAAGACAAATATATTATTCATAACACCTAAATAAATTTATAAAATATATAAAAGCAAATTTTAAATGGTTTGCTATATTCTATATGATATTAAGAACTAAAAATCAAACAAAAAACATTCGTAATTTATTCATATTTCTGAAATATAAAAATAAAAACAAATAAAAAATGTGTTTCAAAAGTTCAATAAAAATATTGTTGTTTTAATAAGGAGCAGGTATGGAAATAAATATCAGCATCAGTTATTGCGACTACACTTGGATTGTCGCAAAAGCACTCTTATACAGTGTCCACCATGGGACCTCATGTTGATAACACACCCTCCGAAGATTGTACAGAGGCATACATCCTGTGGTCATATTCGTCTGTCCATAATCTATATTAGTCCACTTTCTGTAACTATCATAGCATCCGAACGTCCATTTCACAGTGCTTACCATAGGGTTTGTGAACGTTTTTCAATATACTTACTTACTTAGCTGGCTTGTGACAGAACATTTGTTCCATAAGCCGAGCTTACAAAATATTTCCAGGCGCAGATTTTCCAATTTGAAAGACCATGTTTCGAAATGTTGTCTTCGGCTTGATCTTTCCATCGAATTCGTGGCCTTCCCCTTCTGCGTGAACCACCAGTTGGTTCGCTTTTATACGCCTTTTGTGCTGAGGCAACCTCATCCATTCTCACAACATGACCTAGCCAACGTAGTCATTGCAGCTCGATCCGTCTATGTCGACGTACGAGAAAAGATCGTACAACTCATGGTTCATTCGATGGCGATCTTCACCGTCAACGCTGATCGGCCCATAGATATTTCGGAATTTTTTTCACTCAAACACTCCAAGAGCTACCTCATCTGGTTGCGCGAATACACATGCTTCAGATCCATACACCAGCACGGGCATTGTTCCTAAATTGCTTGCTCAGACCATAGTAGCATTTGTTTGCCAACGGTACTAAGGTATATAAAATCTTTGACTACATCGAAGCTGTAGTTTTTAAGTTCCACAGTTGGTCCGAGTCTACTGCACGCCTTGCGCGTTGATACCATCAGCTTGGTTGAATCGGTTTTTAGAATACTTATTTAAAATTTTTCCCAATATTGAGCTAAAATGATCAAAATCAGAGTATTTTTCATCCATATGCCGACTATAGGAAAATTGTTTTTTTTTTTTTTTTTTTTTTTGTTCCTAAGGACGGCATCCATAAAAATATAATAACTACAAATATTTCTTAATAATTTAAAAGTCTGAAGTATTCCTCCGAATATTCCTACCAATTATGAAGATAATCCGGGTTAAAAATATGTAATTTTAATAAAGTTACGGCAAATCGACATGCTCACTAACTTTTTCTTAAGAAACATGCACTGTCGCTAGCGGTGAAAGAACCACATTGAGAAAACCCTAAATTACTGCCTAATAATTTAACCTATATTGATAAAATTTTACACAGAGATAAGCTCTGTCTGTTTACTCGATATTTGGTAACAATTGTTACCAAATGTTACTAAATGTTGTCTGTTTACCCAAAAATCCAGTAAAAGAGAGTCAAGTGAGAGAGCAAGTTTGACAGTTCAACAACAACAAACTTACTGGAGTTTACTGAAAGAATTTGATTCAGTAAGATTTTGCAAACTCTGCGTTTTGGATCAGCTGTTTTATGACCAAACACAAGAATTATTCAAAACATTTTTTTAATTTGCAAAGTTCAATTTGAAATTAAGTTGTATAAAAATTACTGAAAATGGAAGAAAATTCGTAAGTAATGCAAAGTTTCATTAAATAAGAAACTAATTCCGTATATATTTTTGGGCAAGTTCCAGATAGAGGGCAATGTATTGGTGCAGGAAGCTTAAATGTTCCCGGGGAACATACCAAATCAATTTTTCTTTTATTGTTCATTTTATTTTTAATATTAAATTCAATACAAATAATTGTGTTTGTCCTTTGTTTGTTTGTTTATTTTGGCTCAAATCAAATGTTTTCTTGAATCAGCTGTTTATTTGCTAAATCTTACTAAATGTTGTCTGTTTACTTTTTTTAACGGCTTACTCTCTGAACTAGAACTTACTGAATAAATAGGTTCGTTCGTTTACTCAATAATTTGTACGAATTTGTACAAATTATTACAAAATGTTGTTCGTTTACCCAAAAGTCCAGTAAAGGAGAGTGAATTGAGAGAGCAGATTTGACAGTTGTGTTACTGAGTATTTGCAAATTCTTACAAGGAAAATTTACTCAGTAAGAATTTTCTTGTACCATCAGCTGATATTTAATCAGCTATTTTGTTATGTTTTGTAAACAAACAAAAAAATTGTTCTCAAGAAAATTGATTATTTTGTGAATTTTATTTTGATTTTGTATCATTATATACCAAAATGGATGAAGAATACGCAAGTATTTAAAAATAAGGTAATACAAGAGTAATTGTCGAACGATTTTTAGGTTCCAAATCCAAACAAATTGTTGTTTTAATCAGCTGTGTCGAAACAATCTTTTTACTGGATGTTGTTCGTTTACTTTTTGCAGTTTTCTCTCTTGAGAAGGAAAAATTCGTATTTACTCTCTGCAAATTCTTACTGAGTAAATATTACTGGGAAAGTAAACGAACGAACCTAATGTTACTGGAAAAGTAAGCAGACACGCCTATTATCGAAGATTATTAAAGGCAGTTTTCATATTTTGTGAAAGATTTTTTATTTATTTGAAGTTATATACAATTGATGTCGAGTACTGGTACATGCACAGGCAATGGACAATTAAAATTCAATTCAACAGGTTTATTCATAAGGTTAAGAGGGAGGCGAATTCGAGGTAAAATTTATTGTTTGAAGAATAAATAAACAACAAATATTTTTATTCGAACCCAAATAATTATCCACATTACTATCATTACGTTTTCCTGAAATATATTTAGAGTTGTTATCCTGTTCTGGTTGGTATTTCGCGTTTAAAAATTTGACAGCAAGAGAAGACTAATGGGTCGGTTACGGATGGTAACCATAGTTTGCCAGTTGCCAAATTTGAATTATGGGTGGTAACTGTTGAATGTGAATTCATGTGGTGCAAAATAAAAGAAACCATAACATCACCGCTGGTGGACCATCGCAAGAAGTGCCTTTATCAGCATTGGAGCAGGCGGCAGCAAAGTACTATTTGAGGTCTTAATTGCGCGGATGGATACTCACCCAAATGTAGCACGCGGCGTGCGGACTTTTGGTCAAACCAAAGCCACTACCGATAATGTGTGGAAGGTCATTTCAGAGGACCATAACTGCTATAGCCCACCAACACGCACTCCAAATAAATGGCAGAGAGTGTGATTCATTTTAAGGCAAAAAGTTGAAAATGAAGATGGCGCAAAATAAAAGAAACCATAACATCACCGGTGGTGGACCATCGCAAGAAGTGTCTTTATCAGCATTGGATCAGACGGCAGCGGACCCGTTACAAATGGATTTGACATTAAGTCCAGAAGGTGCCATTTTTGGAGTTATATCATTTACATTGCACTTGGAGGAACTGCTTGAAATCGAGCCAAACACTGACAAGGAACAGAAAAATGTAGTGAAATAAGTTAAAATGGCCAACGAATGCCAGAATTTACGAAATTTACGAGTACGAACGGAAGATAAAAAGGTCGATATACTAGAAGAGCCAGCGGCAACTCAAAGTGAACTTTCGAGTACAATAAAAAATGAAAAAGATCTGTATAAACAAAATGAAAAAATGAAAGAATCAAAGACTTACAAAGAAAAAACTATGAGATCTTTAAAGAAATGAAAAAGAAGAAATATGAAGCAGAGGAACATAAACTAAACTAAATAAAACTAAAATTATTAGAAGAACAACTGCAATGTCTACATTAGA